CTATCGGGCTCTGAATGCCATCACTGTGCGTGATCAATTTCCTATACCCACAGTGGACGAATTACTAGACGAACTCCATGGAGCTACGGTTTTCTCTAAACTGGACTTGCGGTCTGGATACCACCAAATTCGCATGCACTCTGATGACATCCACAAAACAGCATTTCGTACACATCATGGACACTTTGAATTCTTGGTTTTACCATTCGGTTTGTCAAATGCACCTTCCACCTTCCAGGCTACGATGAATGAAGTATTTGCACCATACTTACGGCATTTTGTCGTCATATTTTTTGATGATATTCTGGTTTATAGTCCTAATTTGACAGAACATGTTCAACATTTACTTACAGTTCTGGAAACATTACGCTCACACTGCCTATATGCCAAAATTTCTAAATGCGCCTTTGCTACTAACTCTATACACTTTCTGGGACACATTGTTTCCGGCGCAGGCGTCGCACCTGACCCAGAAAAAATAAAGGCAGTTTCAGAATGGCCAACTCCTAAGACTATTACACAGGTACGCGTTTTTTTGGGTTTATCTGGATATTATAGACGTTTTATTAAAGGATATGCCAAAATTGCGTCACCAATTACGGACCTACTTACCAAAGGTGAATTCAATTGGACACACGAGGCTCACACGGCTTTTCTAGATCTAAAGAAGCGTCTCACTGAAGCGCCCATTTTAATGCTGCCAAATTTCAGTAAACCATTTACAATTGAAACAGATGCGTCGGGTTCAGGTATTGGGGCAGTTTTGCTACAAGATGACCGTACGATTGCTTATTTTAGTAAAAAAATTATCTCCACGTATGCAAAACCAATCCACATACATCAGAGAAATGTATGCAATTACCGCGGCAGTTAGCAAATGGAGGCAATATCTTTTGGGATCCAGTTTTATCATACGAACTGATCACAAGAGTTTACACCATATGATGTCTCAAGTGATCCAAACACCAGAACAGCAGCAATTTCTGGCGAAATTACTAGGATACCAGTACACAATCACTTATAAATCTGGCATCACTAATGCTGCTGCTGATGGATTATCCAGGCAACTTCAAGGGGTTAGTGAAACCCCAGTCGCACGATTAACATCATTATCCACACCCAGTTCTCACTATCTACCAGTATTACAGAAGGAATTACAAGCAGACACTTATGCAGCAAAATTAATGGGGGAAATACAGTCATCCAAAAAAAAAAGGGAAACTGGGATATTAAAAATGGACTACTACTCCACCGTGGTCGTGTCTTTCTGCCTGAACACTCTTCATTAATCCCAAGTCTGTTGAAAGAGTTCCATTCAGCACCCATAGGTGGACATGCAGGAGTCAGGCGGACATTGTCTCGTTTATGCACATTTTACACATGGAAAACAGTCAGAAAAGATGTACAAGAATTTGTGAAATTTTGTGAAGTATGCCAAAGAGTGAAACCCATTAATCACTCACCTTATGGCTTGTTGCAGCCAATTGCACCTCCTACAGAAATTTGGTCCGAGCTAACAATGGACTTCATCACACATCTGCCACCAGTCCAAGGAATCTCTGTCATCCTCGTGGTCGTGGATCGTCTCACCAAAGGAGCACATTTTATTCCACTTCCAGACCGATATACTGCCTCCAAAGTTGCACAAGTCTTTTGGGATAATGTGGGCAAAATACATGGCACACCAAAGTCCATCATCACAGACCGTGACCCTATTTTTCTCAGCGCTTTTTGGAAATCTTTATTCCAACTCCAAGGCACACAACTTCGTTACAGTTCGGCGTACCACCCCCAGTCCGACGGACAAACCGAAAGAGTCAATCGAACGTTAGAACAGTTTCTCAGAGCATATACGTTTGAAAAGCAGAGAGAATGGTTAAAATTTTTACCTTTGGCAGAGTATCACTACAATACTGCATACAATCGCAGCATAGGTACATCTCCGTTCGAAGCTACGTTTGGCAAACCTCCACCGTGTCCACTACGGTATTCGTTGGGAACATCACCACTTGAAGCCGTTGATTCAACACTGCACCATCGAGTTTCAGTTCTGCAAAATCTAAAAGAACACTTAAAAAAGGCACAACATGCAATGAAAACTCAAGCTGACAAGAAAAGATGCGAGTTTACCTTCACCATCGGAGATCTGGTCCTTCTTCGTTTACAACCATACCGGCAACTTTCCCTGCGTGGCCGTTCATCACAGAAGTTAGCTCCCAAGTTCTATGGACCGTACAAAATACTAGAACAGATAGGAAAGGTGGCGTACCGACTAGAGTTACCACCGGATGCCAAACTTCATTCAGTCTTCCACATCTCCTTACTACGACCATTTTATCACCGTAAGGACAGACCCCCTCCACAATACCCAACCTCCATTGATACTGAAGACCTCATCCATATTCCACACACTATACTTGCGACCCGCAAGGTGTGGCGTCAAGGACGACCAATCACCCAACTGCTTATCCAATGGACTAATCTTCCTCAAGAAGCTGCTACATGGGAAGATGAAAAATATTTAGAAAGATGGAATGAAGAGGGCAACGATTCAAAGGCTACTGAAGGCGTGTTACCAGCTGTCACAAGTAACATCCGCTCCACCAGCCCTACACTCTGCTCAAGAGCCTCTGCTGTACCTCGTGAAGATACATTTCACGCGACCCAAGAAACTCAAGCGTCGTTGCACGCTGGCGCGGACTCCGGTTCGACACACAAGAAGGCACCAAGAGACATTGCAATATCCACTGGTCACTCACATGGGTCAGCGCACACTGCACAAGAAATTCCCACTGCCCAAGGTTCACAGGGACCACTCCATGGGGAATCCAATGCTGGCCGAGGTGATAAGGCACATCATACACGCACCAATCAGAATTGTCTACGCGGATTTCCAGCCAATGCCTGCTTGCCAAGTCAGCTTCTTCAAGATAATCCATGGGACCACCATGCCACTGGGCCGCAAACAGAGCAGGAGACCCAGCCTCAGTCTGTCTTTCCCAATCAGCCCACAAGCGTTTCACCTATACTGGGCCGTGAGGACAAGGCCTGTTCTGATGAGGTGGGGAATGAAGCATACAGGCCCAAACGTGCAACAACAATTCCAGCCCACTTCAAAGATTATTTATTTAATTAAGCTCTATTTTATTAGGATAAGACTTTATTGCAATTAGTAGGAAGATTATTCTTTTATCCTTCTGTTATTTAGTTTCCTAGATAATAGCTTTTATCTTTCAGTTATTTAAATTCCCAGTTAACAGTAATTTAGGATTGTTAGTTATTTAGTCCTTTACAAATTAGGATTGCTAGGTTATTTATTTCAAGAAAACGATCAATGAGAATCATAGATTAATTTGGTCAATCTTCTTTTCCTCTTCTCTATTCTTTTCTATCCTTCCCTTCCCCAATACCAATCCCTTCAGTATATCTACACAACTTCGATGAAGGTCTTGGTGAATGGTGACGACTGGGGCGCGGCGTGCTCAGTGTAATGGTCGTGGGCAACAATTTACATGCTATAATATAAAATTATCACAGCATGTCTAAAAATAAAGGGCGTAAAGAAGAATAATACAATAAGAATATTCTACTGTAAAGGTATTTCTCCCCTTGTTAATGATATTTTTTTTTGGCGGTGTTCTATTTACTTTAAACAGAGAAATATAAAATAAATTGGCTATTGATTTCATCCTACAATCAGGGAAATGATATGATTTGTTTCCTTTTATTTTGCTATAATTAATTAATATCAGATTTACATTCAAATTGGGATCAAAATTTATTTCCACAAGTATTAATATTATTGTCATGAATTTCCTTATCTCCAACATTATTTTTCCTATAATTTTCTCCACAGATTTTATTGTCATTATTTTAGCTACTTGTCTACTTTTGCTAAAAACTTCATAATATTTAATTATTTATTAATGAAATGAGGTAACGAGAATTGAATTGGTGAACATTTCATCATGAAGAATATAATATGATCATGTAAAACAAATATTCAACCTAACAACTTAAATTATTAGGTCAATGTCACATTAATAATTCTGTATTATTAATTTCAAAGTTTCCAAAAAAAAATATTATACAATTTCAATAGTACATATAATGATAATGGCCTTATTAAAACAAGTAATTTTGTTACAACCACCGGGTCTGAAGGATGAACAATGCATAAATCCATCTATATGTGTTAAGAAAGAAATTTTATTAGAAAGAAAGTGGAAGCGACGAGGACCGAATCCAGTACACTGAGGTTCTGATATCATGTAAAGAACTAATTCAACCCAAAAATTTAAGTTTTTTTCGATTTTGATTTTTCGGTTTCAGTTATCAGTTTTTCGCTTCGGTCACCGTAGTTTCAATTGGTTAATGATCACCCCTAAAAAAGGGCAGCAAAAAAATAACTATTGGTTAGTGATTAGAAGAAAACTTTTGGTATTGATTAGGAAATCACGTGGAGAGCAAATAGGAATGAATAACACGTGTCTAATAGTAGTATTTGATAAAGACAACAATGTTAATCATAATAAAATTTTGTAATTTTATATTATTAATATTTTTATTCCTTCAATATCTAATTGTTTAGGATTTTAATATGATATCAAAGTGGTACCATTCTGTCATTCTATTTAATTTGTCAGTTACTAAATTTCATAAAATCCGAAACTCTATTGTAAGTTGTAACACTATAAGGCCTGTTTGGAGCACCTTATAAAGAAAATAGAATAAAAAAACTTATCATATCCTACTTTTATCTCTTGTTTGATGGATTAATAAGATATAATTAGTTTATCCTATTTCTAATTTTATCCTATCCAATACATGATTTCTTATCCTATGAAGAGGAGCTAGAATAGGATTCAACATGATAGAATACCAATATTAGATAGCCAATATATCCCTATTACAGTGGTTAAAAATAATTGTTTGAATCCCAAAGTTAATCCTTGGAAAAGCACTTTTGTTAATACCTTGCAAAATCAATGTATATATCTCAAAGGATGCGAATTAGTAACCCAATGAAGGACTGTGCTAAGCAAACAACCATGCTAAAATGACACGAAACCATGGTGCTATAAAATTTTTGCTATGTGCAGTGTTTAAGGAAGAGTCATGGCCATTATGGAGGTCTATAACGCCTTACCTTGCATTTACAACAGCCTAATTCGTAATTATTTTATAATTGTGTACTGTAAAATAGGTTGTTTACTGTGGCACCGGATATATAGTACAGACAATTGCTAATTTGTAGAGACAGGTCTACATATTGAGGCAGTGCAGTACAGCGAGGCTGTCAACATTTTCATAGTTTTGCCTGTTCTAGCAGTTGGTCCTGCGTAGCGAGCAAGTAAAAAAAAATAAAAATTAGCAGCATGCACTTGAACAAAAGGGAAAGAAAAAGAAGTGTGTAGGATAATGTAGTGTAAGCAGCAGGTGGTAGTCTTTTAAAACAGAAAGAGGTAAGCAATCAATGAGAAACAATTGACTGCTCAAACATATATAACCCCCTAGATTTTTGCACTATCTGATATAGGATTGATTGAACTATGCTTAGGTTCTCTTTTCAGAAACTTTTCTAAAGAAAAGGTAGGAGTTAAGATCAAAAGAAAGTAAATTATTTGGTTGTTATTTATATTTTTTCATATGAAGGGGGTGCAGATTTACCTTCATTTTGATTTTCTGGGACTAGTGTTTTAGAAAATATCAAATCAGTCAAGTGACCAACTCCTTGTGGCCTTTCAATTTGCCGTGCCATCTAAGTAATTACTTATAACTTTTTGATAAAGCCATACCAGTTGACAATCAAAGACTAAAATAAACATGTATCATTTAGGGTATATGGGCAATGATTAATTACTATGATAAGTTGATAACATAGGGCCATAGTTAAATCCCCTTATATGTGTGTTATGTGTGGTCTCCATTTGTTCTTACATTGTTTTTTAGTTGTTTCTTACTGGAATTCTTTGTCAGTTTGGAGAGTGCTGGGTTTCCCCTAGGTCCTTGGACCAGTTTCTGTTGACTATCTTCACCGATTTTGGAGAAGGAAAGAAGCCAAATTCCTGTGGCAATATGCAATCTATGCCATTACCAGTATTTGGTAGGCGTGTAATTCTTGCATCTTTAAGGTGATCTCTTTGGATGAGCAGCTCCTTTGGATAAGATTAGGTATTTGGCTTCTATTTGGTGCAAAGCTTTTGGTCTTTCTAAAGGGCTTTCTCTTACAGAAATGTTGAGAGATTACGTAGCTTTGCTTCATTGATGTTTTCTTTTCCCCTTTTATATTCCTTATTGTATAAGGAGGATCTATTATCTGCCTAGCTCTTTGTAATAATCTACTCTTCGTGTTAATGAATTTTCTTTTAGTGAAAAAAAAATAAAAAAAACAGGGCCATATCTACGTTAATTAATGTCATGCTTAATTTTTTGGGCTTCTCATTAACTTGGAGATACGATCTTGTTGGGATATTCAAGTGTGATGAGTCTCACATTGGTTGGTAATAGGCTAAGTGAAGTGAATATAAATAGATGGACCCATTAACCCAATGCCTTAAGGTTTTGCGTTGAGATGTGGTGTCAGACCCACTTGGTGTATTTGTTCCACTTAACTCATTGATGGTGGTCCCCCGCCACAGGCTTCCTTTGAACCCGCCTAACAATGGTATCAAAGCTGGGTTGTGCTCGAGCTAGCTAGGTGTTTGGCTAGGAGGCGAGTTGGTACTCAATTGAGGAGGAGCATATCAATGTTGGGTTTCACACTTGAGGTAGAGATTGTTGGGATATTCAAGTGTGATGATTCCCACATTGGTTGGTAATGGGCTAAATGAAGTGAATATAAGTAGATGGACCTATTAACCCAATGCCTTAAAGTTTTGGGTTGAGATGTGGGGTTAGACCCCACTTGGTGTATTTATTCCACTTAGCTCATTGGTGGTGATCCACCGTCACGGGCTTCCCCTAGACCCGTCTAACAGACTTTAGTCATGGGCATATCCATTGCCAAACAAAGTAATATTTGGTTTTATCTTTCTACAAATTAGTTCATGTCAGATGAAACTAGTCACGCAAACGTACTCTTATGAAATCTCCACATTCATACCCCACTAACTTGAGTCCCATTACCAGTTAACACTGAAAGTGGTTGCTAAATGAACATTCCAAGTAATGTGAAGGAAAGAAAGAGAGGAAGAAATGCAATGCAGAAATAAGCAATATGAAGTAACACAAACCTCTGTCACAAAGAAGGCATGGAAACCATATGGAACTCTATGTGGCAATTCTACAACTGCAACAGGATCTGCTGACATTGTTTTTGCATCGATAACATGCACAAATGATTTTCTGCAGTATTGTAATTAAATTCATGTTTAGATTTTTACTCTTTTCAAATTGGAGATAAAAAAACAAAAAATAAGCCATGTCATAGTGATTAATACAGAGAGCAGTCCCTGATTCCTTAAGAATTGCACAGGCCATAACAGCACTAATGATCACAATGCATGCACATAACAATTATTTCATAGAAATCATTGATTGAAGTCTGCAGAGGAAAGTGATACCGGATATTCTCATCATGTACAAAAAAGATCAAGTATCCATCATCTTCTTCAGAATTGGTGCCAGGGACACGCGGGACATAAACAGCCTCAGAGCCAAACCTCCCTGGTCCCAAGTCATAGATACCCTGAACATTTCCTCCAACCTCAAGCTTTGTTTTTTCAGAATCCGGTTCGGCATGCAAATCAAATTTAATAATCCCAGTAACTTTAGCAATACTATCTAATGTGGTCCCGTATACATATCGCTGCTTCCTGATGAAATGAAAATGATAAATAGAGGTGATAGAAGACATGCATAAACTTACTTGTTCGGACTACATCTTAGAAGACATGCATAAACTTACTTGTTCGGACTACATCTTAGAACGTAATTCGGAAAGCACATACGGTATCATTTTCAAATAAGCACAAAAGAAAAAAGAATGCGAATAAGAAAATTTCGACTATCAAACTAACAGATGATTAATATAGTTACAAGTTCAGTATTTTGACCACCCTAAGGAGATTAAGCTTACCTTCCAGTGTAGCTTTCATTCACCCTAGGAAAATCTATAGCAGATGCTGATAGTTTCTTCTGAAAAGCTTCACCAGTTTTAATGTTAAATCTCATTTCATACCTGGCAAGAGTAGTCAATATACATTAATAAAGAACAATCATCATGTAAAATTTGTTCTATAAATTACATGTAAGAATGAGTCTTTTTACAGTTCATTTGAGAAATTTTCAAGCTTTTCCTTGACAGCCCCATTAACCATGTCCAAATCTAGATTCTCAAGGCGGCACGTGATAAGAACAAGTTCATCCTCCTCCTCCCAAGCATTGGCTAGGTAAAAAAAAGGTCATACAAAATGTTACAGTGGACAAGTCTATCAGAATTGAAGAATTTGAAGCACATATTGAAGCTTGATTTCATATTCTAACTTTAAGGCATATCCCATTTTTCCTACTATATCACACTGTGGTTTGCATGTTACTGCAAGGAGTGTCAAACTTTGACAACATTATGATTTACAAAACTAAAAGAGTTTTTCTATAAGTTGGCTGGGAAAATGAACTGGACTCTCTACTCAAATTTTGTTATCATGCACTTAAATATTATGGACCATTGAATTCCTACAGAATCATCATTGTAGAATCTCAATCAACATTTTATATTAAGGAAAAACAAAAGCAAAAGAACACACCATTGTGGAATATGAAGCAATTTGGTAGTTCAAACCATCTAATATGCTTCTCATCCTTAGCATACCGAGGAAGGACACCAAAACGAGCTTTCTTGGTTTCATCAAATGAGAATATCAGTGTGTTTTTCTTCACCATTTCCTGAAAAATGGATTTCAACGAATAATTCAAGATTCACTAAATGCCATCAGTTGACGCACATAGTCAATAGACTCTATACCATTAAACCATCCTTTGCACAACACTCCTTCAGTGCCCAAAAAAAAAAAAAGCTCCCAACCAAAAAAGGAAATCACAATGCCCACACCTACTATGTTCACTGTAAAAGTTAAATTGACATAATGGATTCCCTCTTCAGATTCCCACATTACGAACATTTTATTTAAAGATGTTTCACTAAAAGGAAAGAAAGTAGAGTAATAAATGTCCCCTTACATAAAAACCTTTTAAAGCACTCCGCCTCTTTTACATGGTGCAAAATTATAATTTAATTAAGAATTGGGGAAGATAAGATTAATCTCCTAACCACTTGGTTAGAGTGGCTTTATTATCATGTCAAGAACCAGCTATCCAAAAAAATTGAGCTATTAGGTGCAGGACTATGATTTTTAATCTATGACAAGTGGGAGAGCAAAGCACTATTTCTCATTTATAATAAACAAGATCAGTTTTAGAGTTTCAATAACAAGCATGGTATAGTTGAACTGCATAATTACTAAACTAAACTTTGTCAGACTACAAGAACAGAAACACCTGTAATACCTTTGGCCTAAAATACAGAGGAAGATCCATGAATATTGCATAATTTTCTGTGATGGCAAAGTCATGCATCATGATGGGCTCTGATATTGTTATGGGCACAGGATCATGCATATAACCGTCCTTTGAAATTACTCTGTATGTAATATATGGTGGTGTATGTGAATAGCCAAATGTAAACATCTCCCCTGCATACAGGATATTCGTTTGTCACATAACTATTCCATTATATCAGTCAACTTAATTACTTATTTCAAGATGGCTTCACCAGTAAATGGGTCAACTTTTGGATGAGCAGTGAAGGAATGACCCAATCTCTTGTCATAATCAAGCATGCCAAGTGTCTGCAAATCACCATCTTCAAAAACTTTAATAGCATCTGCAAAATTCAAAATGAGACTACTTCAGTCCTACAGTAGAATAGGTAGATATAGATACAATAATATCGAGTTGAATCCATGGATATAACCGAGTCACTAATTGGACTACAGTTACTCTCTCCAAGATAAAGAAAAAAATCCTCGCTTGTTAAGATCATAATGCTTGTGAATCTTTTCATTCTCTTTGTTCTATTCAGTCGATGGCACTACAGCTATAGTCAAATAGTTTATATCTTTAATAAATGTAAAATAGATAGGAATTGTACTTACAAGGTTTATCTGCTTCCGAGAGTGCTAGAAGCTTCCCATGGTGATATACAAGAGCTGTATTAGCTGGTAGAAATTAGAGTATGAGCACAAGTTAGTTTCAGCTCATCCAGACATATTCAAGAGCTCAATATTCCCAGTAAAATATCCATAAAAAGATTCCACCAAAACATGTGTGTCAGCAAGGGAATGCATCAGGTAATGCACTCTCCAGTCATTCTAGAAAGAAAAAAAAGAAGAAAAAAAGAAGAGGGGCTACTTCAAAAATTGAACGATGAATCAGATGTCGTTTTTGTAATATAACTTGTACAGTACCAACACTGAACAGTAGCCCATACATAATGCAACACCATTGCAACCTTACAAAAGGGAGATACAATTCAAAATACTATATAAATTGCACTGAACAAAGTTGCAGAATGTAAAAAAATTCACAGGACCTTGAATTTGAAAACAAATTCCATAGCACAAGTTACCTGTTCCATTTCCGTAAGAAACATCCAGTACTTTCAATTTAGCTCTCAACATTTGCATGTTAACCATTAACAGTCCAAATAGACCCTTGAGATCACCAATCTGAAAATGACATATACAAGAAGCTGCATTTGTCTTGGGAATATAAAATAAACATTTCTAAGACTGGTAAATTTTTCACTAAAGCTTCTATATTTTCACTTTCTTTCTATACCTTCATAAATTTGGCACCTCCAAAGTATTCTTCTTGTTTAAGACGAGAAGTTCTCACAAAACGGGAAACATATGTAGCTTTTCCATCTTTGATACGCAAACCATGAATCATTCTACAATTCATGCATGAATATATCAATATTGGAGGACCAGACACCAAAACTATGAACTTTATATAGTGTTATTGACAACCCAAGATTTAAAAACATCAAAAACTGTATTATTTCCGATGAAGCAGAAGGATGGTGGACCACTTGGTTATAGAGGTTCTGATACCATGTCATGAGCTAACTCTCCCAAAAGCTTATACTGTTAGGTGAAGACACATGAATGGTTTTAACATTACATCACTAACGGTAGTGAAGCAGAAAGAAAATCAAATAAAGATAAGAAAGAAATAAAGGAGGAAAGGAAAAAGAAGGGGGAAACCTTAAAAGGTATTCAGAACAATGCAAACATTTACATGCTAGAGAATGTGGCTGTGCAATTCCCACAGAACTTAGGTCATGATTAGGAATTAAATTGTAATCACTGATTTATATTGACACTACTTTAGATTTGTGCTCGCTTTTTTTTACAGGTTAACGAAAATGGATAATTAACATGTACAATGAAGGATTCTGCCAAAAGAACTGTTAGAGATATATAAAATCATTAATATAACCTCATCTTACAGCTTAAGCTTTTGGATTGAATTGGTTCTTTACATGGTATTAAGTCCTCAGTATCACAGGTTCGATCTTCACCGCCTCCCATTTAGTTAATAATTAATTAAGTCTTATGGAGTTTCTTAGCATAGGTAGGTAGGCATGTGCATTGTCCACCCTTCAAGTCCAGTGGACTCTCGTATAATTTGTAAAGAACCAATTCAACCCAGAAGCTTAAGCTGATGGATGAGGGCTTTCTAATGGTTTATACTATTCTCTAACACGCCCCCTCACATGAGAGCTCACTGGGCTTGAAGGATGGACAATGCACAGGCCCACCTATCTGTGCTAAGAAAATTCCATAAAAGAAAGTGAGAAGCAGTGAGGATCGAACCCACGAAGCTCTGATACTATATAAAGAATCAATTCAACCCAAAAGCTTAAGCTAGAGGGTGAAGGCTTTTTAATGGTTTATACTATTCTCTACTAAAAACTATTAAGATTTTGGTTGCAGTCCCCAAGCAATTGCAATAATAAGATCCAGCAAATAAAGTATGCATCCTACCAATGCAAGGATCAAATATTGCCACTCTATTTACATGAAAATTTCATATATAACAAACATGAAAGAAATATATGTTTTCATAAAGGAAGAGAATTACACACCCATCTCCATCAAACCTGCAAAAACAGTGACAGAAAACATGGCATAAGCGTAAAACTCCACTCAATTAATACATTTTTTGATACAGATAAACTATAAAAAGCTCCAAATTCATCCCAAACCTTCCCATAAAAAGTAAATATGGTAAAAAGAAAATCAATATACTGATAAGCTACATGGGTATTTTCCACCAAGATTTGTGCAATATCTCATAATATATGGTTCAAATCATACCAAAAAAAGAACAAACTTTACCAGTGATATCCAGCCACAGGAGCAAATTTCGGATTAGGTCCCACCCTGACAAACTCTCCATTCAAGCAATCCTGCAACACATTTCAAATGGTAAGTGATGAGTAGCAGGAGCTGATATTGTTCTAATCATAAAACCACAAAAGAATAACAATGGATAAACTCTCCAAGGACAGAAAGCACAAAACCACAAAAGAATAACAGAAAATCTAAGATAGCTAATAAAACACAACAAAGTCTATGTATTTGGTGAGCTGAGACAGAATGCAGCATAATACAACTAAAACTATAACAATCAAGGAACTACCACAAAGATGGACATGGACTACTTTCACAGTGCCCATCAAAATTTAACCCCTTTTTTATCCCTCTTTTCATCTAGATCCTGATCTTTGCTTATGTGGGTATTCTCCACTTCAAATTCAGAAAATTAAAAAGAACAAAACAACCCCCACAGATGAAACACAAAACATATATCCTAAAATGCTCTAATCTCACCCTATTAGAGAATTGAATATACAAGATAGCATTATCTAGAGTAACAAACAGCCAATTGTACTTACTGGGAGGTACCCTTTAACAGGAAGGTCCTTAGTGGGAGGGGTTTCATCAGGAACAGGAGCAAAATTACCAGAAAGGTAGTGTTGGGGCAGTGAAGAATCATACAAGCACTTCACAATCAGATTCTCCAAAAAATCAACCACTTTTGAAGTGAAACCATTGCTGGGTTTTGGTTCCACCTTCACTAGCCCTCCACCACTATTGATCTTCTTCTCATCCTCCATGTTGGGTCTGTGTCTGAAAGTGCTAGAAAGCTTTTACCTAATTGGGTTTGTGATTGTGACGAAAGTGTGGAAATTAAATCATCATTCTATGGTTCATCTTCTACCATGTGACTCTGTTGGCACAGCACCTTCCACGTATGTGACACAATGTCCTGTGATTCTTTTTGTGTATTCCAAGATTCTGTTTTTGTATTTATCGCCATCGTTTGGCCACAATCCAGGAAATGCATTTGCTATTTCCTTCTTCTTTTCTTTTTTACATTTTTTTTTTCAGTAAACGACACTTAGTGTTAATCTTTTATTAAGAGAGAGTAAATCCAGACTATTTAAGAAAAATCACATCAAATCTTATTTAATAATGAAGAAAATATTTTTAAGAGAGTATTACAATATGTGTTACTATTATTTCTCTAGTATATTATTATAAAAATATATATTGGGGAAGTATATTGTAACAACCAAGCAGTGTTACTACCAATCAATTTCACCGTTAGATCGATTATGACGGTTATATTTATTTTCATCTTTGTATGATTATGATTCTCCATATTTAATACTTTATATTTATTTCCACCTTTGTATAATTATGATTTTTCATATTTAATGCTTTCACTTTAAATACGAGGAATCATAATCATACAAAGATGAAAATAAATATAACCGTTCGATCAACATAATCGATCTAACGGTGAAATTGATTGGTAGTAACATTGGTAGTAATACTATTTGGTTGTTACATATCACATGTTTATTATTAATGAATTTTTTTTATGGATTTAATATTTTTATTTGTTTTGAAAAGAATTTCTACTACAATCTATAAAAGAAAGTGGTCCCATTATTTGATTAATGTTTTCTCCCTCTCCTTTTAAAGTCATCTATTCATTTTTATGTAAGTATGAAGAAAATAATTTTTTTTTATTTTTTTTTCCTTTGTTTATATATCATATATACTTCTAATTAATCATTAACTATCAAAATAATCTGTTTAAATTTAATTTTTTTTATATAACAATTTTACTTGAATCTTTACATTATTAGTATGTTGTTAATTAGAAGGGAAAAAATAGTAATGTCTTGATTTATAAATATGCTAATAGTGAATGTGAGGAGATTTGATAATTAATATAGGTTATAGATTCAAACATATTATTGAGGGTTTTTTTTTGATAACATACATAAGTTTAAAAAAAGGGAAAACATATTAGCTTTCTTCTATTTTTACTAAGTTATAAAATTTTCTTCTTTTTAAAATATTTGTCATGAACTTTATTAATATATATATATAAAGATGGGTTAAATTACACCAGTATAAATTATATTTTTAATATGAAATATTATTTTATTTATATTTAAGAATTTTAATTTATTAAATATGTTAATCGTTAGTTGTAATGTGTTCTGGAATGAACATTAATGTCTAGCAGGATAGCTAGTATTTGTATCTACGGAGCTTATGGTAAAGATGACAGGCAATGAGAAGTCTTGCACCTTAGGTCAAAGTCTGATGGTATGAACAATGGGTGTGTGTGTGTGAGTCACCTGCTTAGTGGATAGAATGTGCTCTAAGCACAAGTGTGAAGGTTGTAGCCATATTGACCAGCCTTGTGAATACTAAGATAGAATACTAAAATAGGTTATCAGATGAGTTCAGATGAGTCCCCCTCTTTGTTAGCTATAAGGGGTTATATATAGATGAAATGCACTAGGAGGTTGTGCCCCTAGTGGGTAGTTTGCAGGTGACTTAATGGTGTGATGCAATGCTTGGTGGATGGTTATTTGTAGTAGATGGAAGTTAGGGGAGAGTGGTGGAATGAGATGCTTCATGTAGTGGGATAGGAAGTGGGAACCACCTGAGTGGTCCATAACATAAGCCCCCTAGCCTGGCATTCCGCATAGTCAGAATGTCAGGGTAAAAGTAAAGCCAATGTTTAGTATTGTGAAAAAGGATATGAATGCTAGGAAAATCCAGTTTGTGACTGCTTCCGGGTTCTAGGTTGCTTTATCGTGTTGCTCGTTGGTACTTGGTTGTAGTCTTCTCCGGGTTTGTAATTGCTTCCGAGTTTGAAGCTGGAGGTGATTTCTTGGATTTGTTAGCCTAGACCTACAATAAATAAAAACAATAATTATTTATTGCGTACCTGAGTAGGGTGTGAAAACCCTATATGAATATGTCTTGTGCGCTGATTAAGATTATTCAGAATCAAATGTTCAACAATTTTCCCGCTTCCGATTAGAAAAAAGATGGGTGCCCAAGGGGTCTTTTAGTAAACCATTTTTATCCTGGAGGGCAGGTCTTCTTTTAGTAAACCATTTTTATCCCGGAGGGCCGGTCTTCTTTTGGCGACAAAGGACTTTCTTTTCCCGTTTCCGAGTAGGAATTGAACGGGTGCCCAAGAGGCCAATTCTGGCGGCAAGGGACTTTGTTTTCCCGCTTCTGAGTCGGAATTGAACGGGTGCCAAAGAGGCCAATTCTGGCAGCAAGGGACTTTGTTTTCTCACTTCCGAGTAGGAATTGAATAGGTGCCCAAGAGGCCAATTTTGGCAACAAGGGACTTTGTTTTCCCGTTTCCGAGTAGGAATTGAATAGGTGCCCAAGAGGCCAATTCTAGCGGCAGGGGACTTTGAATTTTCCCGTTTTTGAGTAGGAATTGGACAGGTGCCCAAGAGGCCGTATTTTGGCGGCAAGAGACTTTAGTTTTCTCGTTCCGAGTAGGAATTGGACGGGTGCCCAAGAGGCCATATTTTGGCGACAAGGGACTTTAGTTTTCCCGTTTCCGAGTAGAAATTGGACGGGTACCCAAGAGACCATATTTTGGCGGAAAGAGACTTTTAATTTTCCCGTTTCCGAGTAGGAATTGGACGGGTGCCCAAGAGGCTCTATTTTGGAGGCAAGGGACTTTAGTTTTCCCGTTTCCGAGTAGGAATTGGACGGGTGCCTAAAAGGCCATATTTTGGCGGCAAAGGACTTTCTGCTTCTAGCTATATTGTGATTTCTTTGTCTTTAAATTTTGAACTCGGTTGATGTCCTGCACCCTGAAAAATATAAAACATGCAAGCTTGCAAGGAACTCTGTTAATTGTTAGAGCATTGATTGAAAAATAATAAAAAGCAAGACAGGTTTTAACAACAACCCATATCATTATGCAACGTTAAGAAGTCATTCTTCCTTGTAGTTAAGATGCATGTTATAGCCAAAATGACATGATAGTGACTGAGGTCCGAATAGGATAAAAATTGCTCCCCACATATTTCTTCTCCTTATGTGAGTTCTCCCGAATCAAATTTATGATTTCTGAAAATTTGTTAACCTATCCCTGTTTCATTTCAATTTTATTCAACTTGAAAACAAGAATTTGATGTTAGATTCCCTTAAAAAATATTAGCTATAAGAATCTCTAGGAAGCTACACTCATACTTTTTCATAACATTAGAAACAGGGCCGATACCTTTACCCCACATGCCAAAGGAAATGATATACTTAGCATAACTCATTAGCTCGAGGCTTGAGCACCTTTAAAAAACTTCATTGAAATTAAAAAGAAGTCGTGAACCATTTCAAGTATATGATCCGCATACACAGAAATTCATTCAAGAGTGTTTATTATTATTTTATTTTTTTTCTATCCAAGTAAATAGATATGCAGTTCATTAACATCTTTTATCAACAAAATCTAAGCCACAAACACCAAGCTTTGAAATTTACACATAAAAACTACTGAACAAAGTATATTATCTGTTGCATAAAGGCAAAATCAAGAATCACATTCTTTTGGAATCTCAGATAAATCCCTATTGCGAGCAAAGAGGTTGTCATAACAGAGTAAGACACATAATCATAAAAAGCACAAACTGCAAGGTTGCTTTCCAACTTGCTAATACGTGGTTTAAAACTCTTATTTTTTGAAAAAGGAAACAATACTGAATAAAAAAAAAAAAAAACCACAGAAATATTCGCCAGAAATTTCATAAAATCGCAGCAACAAATGATCATAAATATTACATCTATTTTTACTACATTATAGCATCCAATTCCATATATTGCTCCAATTAGTCTATTATTTATACGATATAATTTATTACATGTGAGTTTATTAATCCCTCTTCATGGAAAAAAAGGAACTTTCCATTTACTTTGTGTTATTGCTCACAAAGGTTTCAAGCAGTGCGTTTCTTCTTCTTCTTTTTTTCATCCTATGTTGTCGCAAGTGTTCTTTATATCGGTGGTTTGAATCAATGACAAATCTAATAATATATGTATTGAATACTGTGTTGATACTAGTCAATTTATCTCATTAATTATTTAAAATGCTGAATCAATTTTTCTAAATTCCAATACAACACAAAATGACAGTATTTATATAACCAAAGAATCAGAATACATATAAAGTTCTAAACACACATTGCACAATATATAAATTTTATATATATATGTACGGACAAATAATCATACAAGCCAGATATGAAGATATGCCTAAACCTTTATGGCTCACTAACTTAATACTTAATCCCCCGATGAATATAATACCCATGCAGAGTCAAAAAACAGGGAGCAATTGCTCAACATAATTACCCCAGAATATTGTTGTCAAAAAAACTAGTGTAAAAATGTAAAAATTTACATTTTTACGTTTTTACTGGAGTGATACGTGTTAAAACGCAAGCAAAAATTTTCCTCAATAAAACTGGTAGAAACTACGTGTAAAAATGATAAAAACGCAAGTTTCTACACTTTTACTTAAACAAAAAAACTAGATCGGTCTTATTATACCAAAAAAAAAAGAATTGGGTTAACTTTTAACCCATAACCAGTTTTCTTTTTCTTTTTTCTTTTTAAAAAAAAAAAAACCTTATTTCCATTTGCCCTAAATCAAAAACATAGTATTTTCTTCTAACTATCTGGAAAAAAAAATGTCACGTAAGGTCACTATTGCAAAGAAAGAAGAGGGTGAAGCCACTGGTGAAAAGTTTGAGAACTAACCTGAAGTGGATTTTGAATCAATCTATTACATTTTATTGCAAATGAGCTTGTTATAGGAGCAAAAGAAGAGGACATTGAGGATATGCAATTGATGCAAAATAATGTGTTTGATTTAAATCAATTGATATAATTTAGAAGTTATTAAACTTTACTCTTTTGATATTTTGGAACTTGGTTGTAAAAGTT